AAGTTTGGTAAAGAAATAGTTAAACGTCTTCTCTTTGTCTCAGTTATAGTCCTATAACACTTTGTCTCTTATTCGTCTTCGACTTTTCAGAGTTAAAGCCCTTTACCATTTTATCTAATAATCGTCTACGTGACGCCTGCGTTGCCTTCCCCGAACTCGTTCAGTCAATCAAAACAGAAATTTTGGGGAAGAATAAATTGAAGATTCTACGACGTTTGTGGACTCACCTTTCTGAGTTATAACCCTATAACACTTTATCTAATAATCGTCTTCGACTTCTCAGAGTAAAAGTCCTTTAACACTTTATCTTTTAGCCGTCTTCGATTTTAAAGCCCTTGTTATTAGTGATGTCTGCGTTGCCTTGCCCAAACTTCGAATTTTATGATGCACGACACTTGTGGACTGGCTTTCCTGAGTTATAGCTCTATAACACTTTGTCTAATCATTGTTTTCGATTTTAAGGCCCTTGATCGCGCTTTGTCTCTTTTCTTTAACATGTTTTGACAAAGTAACCGCTTGTTTTATTATTTGCGCAGAAATGTCTGGCAAGGCACTAGAGAAGCACCGGTTAATGCAAGCAGAAGAAAGACAAAAACTCAGTAAGCATCACTTCAAGGCTTCAAGTCATCCGTCAGAGTATGTCGCAATGATCATTGATGGGATGGATCAGAGCAAGACTATATTGCCACACTTCACTAGGGTTCCAAAGGATTCGAAACTAAAAGAAGGGAACTTTGTGAAAGTTCACGTGGTTGGGGCTAAGGTGCTAGGACTCTCATCGAACGCCTCTGCAACTATTTTCTTTGACAACTTCAAATCAAATTCTAATTGCATGCTAACTGTTCTTCATCGTCAGATTTCTCAACTTCCTATACCATTTCCGAGAGTCCTGTATCTGACACTTGATAACACTTCGAAAGAGAACAAGAACAAATTTGTGTTGTCATATCGCGTGTTCTTGGTGAAAATGAGAGTGTTTAGTAAAGTTAAGTTAAACTTTCTTCTTGTAGGTCACACGCACGAGGACATCGACCAGATGTTCAGCTGTTTCTCGAGAAAGCTGGTTGCACATGGTGCGTTCGATCTTCCTGAGTTGCAACACATGATTAGGGAGCCATACAAGGTAGAACAAGATCATGGCGTGCACGTTGAGGAGATGACGGAAACAATGGACTGGAAGTTGTACGTTCAGGATCATCTACATAATGTCAATGATATTAGCTTCAACCAACATTTCCGAATCAAGCGCAACAACAACGGGGAGGTGCGCATTTGGAGCAAGTAATATCATAACTCGCAGTGGCAGCCGAACGACAGAGAAGGTCTGGACATCTTCAAGTCAGAGCTAACAGGACAAGTTCAAGCTTCGTCAAAGCATGCAATCAGGTCTTTGGAAGCAAGATATCGACTTACTTGTTGGGGTGAGGACGAGAGGCGTGATAAGGTCGTCAGCAGTGAAGATCATGTCCGTAATCGAAAGGCGGGAGGATCTTCGAAATTCAAGGTTGACGATGATGTACTTTCCATCGCCGCCTTGAAAGCCAACGTACATGCCCTGTCGCATTACGCTCAACCCCACAACATTGAATGGTGGAATAAGTTCATAGCAACGCAGGAAACTCTTGACCTTGAGGACACAAACCTCAAAGAGCCTTTCACGTGGCCCTCTGTAACAGCTGATGTCAGCAGAGCATGTGAAGAAGTTCCACCAACCGCTAACGGCTGTGACCAACGCTGGGATGATATTTTCCATCCTGAGAGACTCATCTCCATCGGCGCACGAAAGAGCAGACAGTTTCGAGAGGACAGAGACGGAAAGTACGACGATCTCGAGGTCAACACTTTCATCGCATTACGAGCTTGTTCGGGGCAGGAAGAGAGAGGCAAACCTTACCACATTGACAAGGTTGTCGAGCTGCTAGCAGGTAAATGATTCAAAGTTGCTTGGTTTGCACAACGTGAAAAAGGAGAGGGTTACTATCCTCAGTTCAAGACAAATGCTCAAGGAAAGACTACGAGAGAGCCTTCCAAGGATGTCTATGACTGGAGCTGCGGCGTTCTTTGTTAGAACTTCCAACTGAAGACAGACAGGACCCTTTCTCGCAGACCAGACAGAAGATCTGTAAGATGTCGAATTCCATGGCAACGGAGGATGTCGACTAGGAATACCTTCTAGGAACCGATTGCTTCGGAGGTTGGCAGAGTGTCATCGAGATCGAGGTCATTTCCACTTCCGCATTAGATCACGTTTCCTTTTGTCGCTATTCAACAGATTATCTGAGTTTAGTCGTTAGTGGCTTGTAAATTTTTGTAAATATGTACAACAGTAGGTTGCAGTTCGCAGTCAGGCACGTGTGGCCAACCTTTTTGTTATCTGAGTCTAGTCGTTAGCGGCTTGTAAATTTTTGTAAATTTGTACAACAGTAGGTCGCAGTTCGCAGCCAGGCACGTGTGGCCAACCTTTTTGTTTTCGCGATTTTTTCGAAATGTACTTTGCGGTTTTTCACTTGAAAATTTTGAGATTTTAAAAATTAACTCACGATTTGCCGTTTGGGTTCCGACTTTTTGATTTGCGGTTTGTCATTCATTTTTTGACCAAAACATTTGTCACATGAACAATTGTCGATTTGCGGTTTGTCATTCAAACTCTCGCGACATTATGCTATTTTCTACTTCCCGCAAAGTCGTGTTAAAGGCCTACAAGGTTGTGTTTGAATTTCATTGAATTTTTACGACGTTCAACATTGCGTTTACAGCGCTTCAAACACCTCACCGATTACGGATTACAATTTTTACGCCCGCCAAGCTTCATGTCAAATTCTTGCGAAATTATGTTATTTTTCTCTTTCCTAAAATTCGCGTTATAGGCCTATAAGGTCGTGTTCGAATTTCGTGGAATTTTCACAACTTTTAACACTGTGTTCTTAGGGCTTTAAATACTTGACCGACAATGGACTAAGACTATCTATGTTGCATAGAGTACACATACGGGGGCTTCCCGTGCGAAACGTACAGGTTATTTCTGTACGGGATCTGTACGGGAACCTATACGGGAACCTGTACGTCTTGTACGCCCCCGTACGAAAAAGCAAAAAAAAAAAAAAAAAAAAAAAAA